AAAAAAAAAGAAAAAAAATTTCTTTGCTAATGTCACCCCTCATTTCTGTCTCTCTCATCATTTGCTGCAGAACAGAATACCCTATATTAATGCCATCTCTCACCAGTCCTTGACCAAGGGAGAGAAAATGCAAGTCTAGTGCTCAAACCAAGGTGGGTGCACGCAGGTCACTTTTGTGGTTTTGGATGAAGCCCTTCCTTTGAATGATATAACACGGAAGAGAGTTTGAGAATAAACTACCCCAGGTTGCTAAGGAGAAGAGGCTGTGAGCTCAGATTCACTAAGCCATTCTCTATAACACATGTGGGCAGTGGCCAGGCTCACAGTTGTCCTGACATGATGGTCTGTGTCAGATCAGTAAGGGCAGAATAGGGAAGGATGGTGTAACAAAGTTTCCACTTCAAGACTCCAGATTAGGTCTTCCAAATCAGTGCTTCTCAAATTTTACTGTGCATATTGATCATCTGAGGATCTTGCTGAAACACAAATTCTAATTCTTTAGGTCTGGGGAGGGCCATGAGATTCTGAATTTTTAAATCCCAGGTAAGTCTTTTGCTGCTAATCTGTGGACCACACTTGAGTAAGAAGATCCAAAGGCACTTCTTAGATAGCCTCAGATAGAGTGATACTTAGCTAGTGACCACTTATAAGATCAGCTGTACTACATTTTTACACATTAAGATGTGTTCCTGAAATGTGCGTGCAAATAAGATACTGTTTTATAAGCATCAAGGGCCCATAGACCATATAAATTGTACTATCTGACTTATTCACAACTTTGAGCAGTCTATTAAATTGTTAAGACTCTGTATCTCAAATCTGTCTCAGGAAACCTAATCCCTATAAAGAGAAGGTTGATATTCAGTGAAGAACTAACTAGAAGTACCCTCTGCCTGGTAGAAAAAAAAAATAAAAGTTCTCTTCCATTTCACTTTCCCAAATTTATTTGACTTATTAAGCACAGATTTTCATCGGGTCAACCTCTTTAAAGTAGGAGCAAGGTCTAAAGTGGGAGCACATCTAAAACTGACATTTGCAGAGCAGGAATCAGCTAACATCAGAGAGGGGAAATGGATTCACCTCCAGTTCTTGGTATCTGAAAGAGAAACTTATCTTTGAGCCCTTCACCCAAGGAACGTGCTGAATACCCTCATATTGTGCACTTTAGATGAGACCCCTCCACTAGCCCTCCCTCCTTCTGTCAATTACCCTCCCCCATTCCCTCTTCCTTGCTAGACTATATTTGTGTTTTATCTTTCATGAGGGCATGTAATTTTTTATATATTGGTTTCATATTAACATTGAGTACGTTGGATTTTTTCCCCCCATTCTTGAGATACTTTACTAAGAAGAATGCATTTCAACTCCATCCAGGTAAGCATAAAAGATGTAAAGTCTCCATCGTTTCTTATGGCTGACTAGTATTCAAACTTGATCTTTACCTTGACGTGAGAACAATGTAAACTAAAAATTTGTACCCTCATATTAATTTGGAATAAAAAACAAAATAAATAAAAATACAGGTCCTGTCTGACCACTGAAATGGCCTAGGAGCAATGACACGCCAACAGCAAAAAGCATATCTCGTACTCAGGTCTTGGCTTCTAAATACTACTTCCTTTTAACTAAAGCTCTTGGGGAAATGGCTGATTCTAGTTGAGCTTAGGTTATCAGTATAGAAAAGTAAGAAAGGGCCAGGCGAGGTGGCACACTTGTAATCCTGGCACTTTGGAAGGCCAAGGTGGGAGGATGGCCTGAATCCAGGAATTTGAGGTTGCGGTAAGCTATGATGATGCCGCACTGTTCTAGCCTGAGTGACAGGGTAAGACTGTCACAAACAAAAAGCAAGAAAGCTAGCAAAGACAAAAAGAATCATGTCAAAAGAACACAGATGTCAACTTGCAGGGACTTCCCTTTGCCAAATCGGGCCTTTTGCACATCCCAAAGAGTAACTATCGTGAGCTGTAATCAGTAAAAATCTCTGGGTCCACACTGAAAGAATCCATCCTCATTATTAAAGAATTCTACAGATTTAAATTTGAAAAAAAAGGAAACCTATCTTGTAGAGGGAGAATATTAGGTATTTTCCTTACTGGGTAAGACGGTAAGGACAGGGAAAAATATTCCAAAATATAAGCCCTTTAAAATAACTGAAGAAGTAGAAATCAAGTGGCAATTCAGATCATTAAGAGAGATTTAGAAATTGGAGATTTAGAGATTCCACATGGCTTGCTTAAAGGAAGCTGAAGAAGGTGGTGCAGAGACAGAGAGCCTTACACATAGCCCTCTGTTCTTACTTGGCAATGAGATAGACCCCATGATGGTAATACATTGCTTGGGTAAAGTGGCTCCAACAATTCTTTTTCTTTAGAGCAATATCCACCTTTTGCAGTCCAGAGCAATTCAACAGAACTCTCAGGGCATCCCGGGCATACCTAAGACCCCAACAAAAGAGCAGAATTACTACTTGATAATGTCCTTTCCAAAAATAAGTAAATATGATTTATTTTTTCATCCCATCTCCGGCAGAATATATGTTTCGATAAAGGGGAAAGGAGATTGCTTAATCATCCTCCCTGGTGAACAGTTTATGGGATGGGGCATTAGATTGAAAATGTAGCACTTAAAAATCTAAGGTTAATCACAGAACAGGTTATTAGTTACGTGGATAGGCTATTAGTTAGATATTCACTCATGCGATGACACTTGTCTATTTTCTTCCATGGATGACTTAAATAGGAGATATTCTCAACTATTTGGTCTGATTTGGTGTGTATCTGGTTGGAGAACAAGGAGTGAATTATATACCTTAATGGGACTAATTGTGCTTTAGAGCTCTGTCTGGTCTAAAGTCCACACTGGACAAGGGCCAAGAGAAGGCAATTGGGTCAAGATTCCCCTGCAGTGCAGTGAAACCAACTCTCTATCAGGCAAAAGGCAATTGCCAAACTTCTCCCCTGGTGAACAGGTGACTGCATGTTGTCATCAATCCACACGTCACATCCCCACCACAAAACCACTTTACAGTTCGCCAAGCACATTTGTGCATACCATTTTATCTTACAGGTATGACAACCCTGAGAGGTTACTGTCAGAGATTAATCAATGGCAGAGCTGGGTTATGCCTTGCTTTGGATCTAACATCCTGTCTGCTTTCATTTTACACAGTGGCCTCTCACTGATCTGACAGGGAATGTGGCCAGAACAATGTTCTGGGGTACTGGTTCTTGATAAGCTACACACAGGGAAGGTGTGAGCTAATTTCTAGCTACTCGGGCTCACTTTTCTGAAGGCATTCTACTCTTTAGAGGAGACAAATCTATAATAAGCAAATGCACTATGAGGAAGATTATAAGGAGTCCCTCAGGAACTCAAGGGAGTAGACATATTTACAGTGGGATGCATATCTCTTATTTAATGTGAAATAACCAGGGGGATCTCACAGAGGCCTGTCCAGGTCCATCAGTCTCGAATCACTGCTGTAGAAGAGTTGGAACATGAGAGCCATCAGGAGTTGGGGGAACAACTGGGCCACTGCTTTCTTGTAGGAGGCAACAGGTAGCAATGTGCACAGGGCCTGTGATGCCTATCAGGGAAAAATAAAGGAGGTGAAAATGTAAACATCTTCCTCTGAACCCAGTGAGCATTAGTCTGGGAAGAAAGGGAGTGACTCTGCAACTCCTCCTCCACACGCCTTGAAGAAAGCCTGATGTAGTCATGGTAACAGCCCCCAAGTCAGTTGTGAACCAGGAACTGTGCCAAGCATTCTATGGCAAAAGGCTTCCAAAGCACTGTTAAAAAAAAAAAAAATATCCCTAGCTGCCAAACCTGTGGGAAGCAAGCTGGTTCCCAAGGAGGGCATCCATCCTAAGGTCCCTTCCTCTGTGGCCGTGAAGAGTAGTCCTACTAATAACCCAGGCCCTCCCTGCACTTAAACAATACAAGGAAGTGAGGAATTGAAAGGGAGGCAAGCCAGGTCACCTAAGGACTTTTTGGTATACCGACTGCTGCAAAATCAGTCTTACTGAAAATACAGGTTTAGGGCATAATCCTAAAAGACCATCCCAATGTGATGATCCCAAATATCAAAGTCCTGATAGATGAAAGTCCTGAAAATGTGATTCTGGAAAAAATAACTTTTAAATTCTTTAAAAGGCATTTATTTGTATTTTTATAAGGTGGTATATTTGAAAAACATAAAAACACTACAGAACACTTCATAAGCGTGTTTCACATAATAAAATGCAAATAATAATAAAATAAGCAATAATGGCATTCACATTTTTTCTGGCTTCTTCAGTCAGAGGTGACTTTAATGTATTAAAAGGGCCTGAAATTTCATCTGCCAACCCAAACAAATGACACAGTTTTTTTTTTTTTTTTTGAGACAGAGCCTCAAGCTGTCCCCCTGGGTAGAGTGCCGTGGCATTACAGCTCACAGCAACCTCCAACTCCTAGGCTCAAGCGAGTCTCCTGCCTCTGCCTCCCAAGCAGCTGGGACCACAGGCGCCCGCCACAACGCCCGGCTATTTTTTGGTTGCAGCCGTCATTGTTGTTTGGCAGATCCGGGCTGGGGATTTGAACCCGCCACCTTAGGTGTACATGGCTGGCGCCTTAGCTGGTTGAGCTATAGGCGCCGCGCCAAATGACACAGTTTTAAACTGACATTTTCATCATTGCCATATTACCTGGCCAATCCACTTATCTGAGTTTTCTGCCAAATGCATTGGGTTGAACAAAAAGAACAACTTGAAATTCACTTTTATTTGAGAGAAGCCTTGATTGCACCTATTCCAAATTCATCATTATAGTTTGGGGAATTCAATCAGATGTTAGAAATACTTTAGGGATTTTGATCCTTGGGGATGTTAGCATTAAGATTATGGTGTTTGGGGTTGTGCCTTTTGAGATGGTAATTGGCACTGCAGAAATACATATGCCAGCATCTCACAATGTGAAGCAATGCCACCTTTTTTTCTACTAAATCACTGTGAATCCTGAATTTACTCCCAGGAGTGGTGATTTTGGTCCTTGGGAGATATATAATGATGAACACAAATGAGATTAAGACTTCGCACGCCTACAGAAGTCTGTGTAACCTAGCTGGTGGCTCCTTCTCTCATCCCATGTCCTATGCTTTCATTCTCAGTCACTCAGCTTCTCTGGCCTCCTTGGGTTCACCAACATACTAGGTAAAATCCCATCAATAGAAGGCTTTTATCTTCCTCTCTGTTTAAAACTATCCCAGGTAGATGCAAGGATCACACCATCCCCTGATTCAAGTCTCTGATTTTCTGTCACCTTAGTAGAGAGACCTGTCCTGACCAACTTACCTAAACATTGCCCACCATTTTCCTTCCCCCATCCTTTTACGTATCTTTTAAGCTTTATACTATATGACATGCCACACATTTATCCACACATGCCACACATTCATTATCTATGTCTATTATCAAAATATAGGCTTTCTGATTAAAGTATAGCACACAGTAGGTGCTCAATAATGTGTTGAATGCATATACGCATGAGAGGAAGACTATGGTAAGAAAGTGTGACTGAGTCTGTGGATAGTTAGGGATTTTCATGAGGAAGAAAATAATACCAAAAAGAAGAAGTACACGTCATGCTATTTACCGCCACAGGCATCATGTTGGTAGCATCAAGAGAGGAGCGTCTTTTTTCCATCAAGACCTCTTGTATTTCCCCAGGCTTTCCTTTCAGTATCAACAAGATTGTCTTCAGCACGTGAGGGGCCACTTTTGCTTCGGAACCTGCCGCCTGCCACATCATTATGAGAATGCTGCAAACACAGTCCCACCCACAAAAGCCAGAGTCCGTAAGTTTCTCGTTTCCTACTTGACACAGTGACATGAATCAGAAAAAGAGTCTTAGTTTTACATCTTTATATAGCAAAGACACTGCAGACAAACCTCAAATAAACAGATTCTCATTTCCAAATGGTATCATAAGTCTCTCATCCTCAGAAAGAAAGGAAGAATTTAAATACAGTTTTATGGAAAATACAGTCTGCTATGATTTAAATATCTGTTCAGCTCAATTTCAAGAACTGACCAGTTTTCTGTACCCCATATGCTCTCTGCTCCTCCCACCTTCTTACCTGGTTTGTGCAGACAGAATATTTAAAACTGACGTGGGAATGCAAATTAATACATAAATCAATATGTAAATAAAAAGTTCAAACCCTAAATATTGTAAAAACTAAATAAATGAAATATTAAAAAAAACAAACTCAGGGAAGCGAATCATTTTACCAAATATCACAGATTTAATTAGTGAAATGGGTTAGACTAGAATCCTGGCTTCTTGATCTCTAGTCCACAAGAACTCTTTAGGATTACTCTTACCATTATTCATCTTAAGAGCTGCTATACATCTCTGTGCCAATATGTTTCTGATAACCTTATCAATGCACGCTGGCCTCTGAAGCATAGTGTTTAGCCTCCTGCACTTGGGTTCCTCATATGGGGGGGCCTGATTCCTTGCAATGTGGACATACTCAGCTCTGTAGGATCCATGACCTGACTGCTTCTGCCTGGAGGACTCACTCTGAGAACCACAAGAACATCAAATCTCACGTGTCCTGCCACATTCTCTTAAGTCTTGTTCATACCTTCTGGATGATCAAACCTTCCTGGGTTTACTTTAATTCCAAATCTGGACCTTTTTTTCTCCAATTCTCACCTACCCTTAGACCTGCTGGTGACTTTTTAAATTAAGTTCACATAATTCTAATGATGCCTGCTTTCTGTACCTTCTTGGCACATATTGTTTACACTGGTTTCACTGGCAGTTTTCATCTTCTACCCACGTGGATATACACTCTCTCCTCAACAAGGTGGTCGAGGGCCAGTCATCCTTACACACCGGGCGGACTTAGTTCCAGAAAGAGAAAACATGAAGCCTTATAACAGTCTTTGAAGAAATTTTATGAATAATAAAATACTTTGTGAGTTAAAGCCTCCTAAATAAAAACAATCTTTCAGTCAGAAAAAGAAACCTACAGTATTTATTTAGAGCTTTGTTGACTTCAATGCCATTTCACAGACTATTAATTCATTAGTCTGTATAACCCATATAACAGTAACAATCACTACATGTAAAAGCTAACTGATAATGTTTTTTTAATTAAATCATAGCTGTATACATTAATGCAATTATGGAGTACAATGTGTTGGTTTTATATACAATTTGAAATACTTTCATCAAACTGGTTAACATAGCCTTCACTGCATTTTCTTAGTTATTATGTTAAGATATTTGTATTCTACCCTTAGTAGATTTAACATGTACCCTTGTGGTGTGGACCCACCAATAATCCTCCCTCCATTCATCCTCCCCTTCCTACCCCCTCCCTCTCCTCTTTCCCCTTCATCTTGAGCTATATAGTTAGGTTATAGCTTTCATAATTGTGTGCTTGTTTAAGGATTTCAGGAACTGGCCTTAAGCAACTAAGTAAAGAACCAAGATGGCAGGACTCTGCCCCCATCAAGGAAAATACTGAACAGTTAACCTTCAGTTCTGCTGTGATGACACTAGCCAGACTCCCAGATGGCCCACTACTCAAGATGACCATTAGTGCAAAATCCACTGAAGCTTCCCATGACCCCTTCCCTTTAAAACCCTTTAGCCAGCCTGAGAAATTTGAGATGGTCTTTGAGACAATAGCCCATCATCTCCTCAGGATGACAACTCTTCAACAAATCCACTTTTCCTTCCACCACTCTCTTGAGTCTGGCTTTTTAAACAATAGGTAGCTAAATCAGAGTACAGTTACATAACAACTATAGAGAGAAAGGACTTTCCTTATTTCACTGATGTGGTAGTTGAGCATCAGGGGAATTGTACTGAACTTGCATGATGTCACATAGAATGTAAGAGTAAAGGTTGATAGGAAATCATATTCATTTGTTTTCAAAGCTTGAGGACTTTCCATCATAACACTTTCTGTCTTTTACACTGTTAATAGTAGGGAAGCAATACATTCCCTTCCAATGTACAAACTGTATAAATGGAGTGATGTGATTTTCTAAGCTCTTCTAATGGGCCTGTTAGATTCATACTGTCCCATAGGCTCAGACAGGTGACTTCCAATTACATCTGGTCATTAAGGGTAGTTATTTTATGGGTAGGGAGAAATATCTTATTTCCATCTTTCATAAATAAGAAAAAATACTTATATGAATTTATTTCTTCAAGAAAAATCACTGAATTCTCAAACAGGAATAAAAATCTAGTCCCTCTTTGGAGAGAGGTTTGCTCTTATGGGATATGCAGCACATAATTTAAAGCCTTAGATAAATGACAGAGACAGTGATCATTTCTTGTGGGCTTACTGTATCAGGTATTCTACGAGGATATAAATAACAGATGAGGTCTGACAATTAAGATCACAAACTCATCCTAGAAAAAATGTCACTTACCTCATTGCTGAAGCGGACTACAGTCACCTTCAAAGTACTCCCCTTGGGAAGCTGTGCATCAATGCCAGCGCCTAGTCCACACTTCAAAGCAATTTTAGAACTTTTTTTCTGGAATGGCCATCAAAGCTGCCATTTTATTACCCTAAATGTCATCAAAATGTTTTTCCTAAACATTTATTGTCCTAAATGTCATCCAAATGTTTTTCTTTAAATATTTCTTTTATCTTCAAGTGAAAAAAAAAAAAAGCCACTGGGGGCTAGATCAGCTAAGTAGGAAGGTTATTTCAATACAATTATTATTATTATTTTTTGATCAATACAATTATTTGATCACTGGTTTAAAAATCCCTCACAGGCAGTGCCATGTGAGCTGGTGCCCTGTCATGATGCAAAAGCCATGATTTTCAGTTAAGATTTTCCTGTTTCTCTTATCTATGTTTGTTTGGTCTGCTATGTTTCTCATAGTCAGTCAATGATTTTGATGCACAATTAGACAAATTCTTGCAACGTTTTCATCAATTCTGCTCATTTTTGGCTGTCCTGACATCTCTTCATCAGTGATGCTTTCTCCTCCCTCAGAAAAAATGTTTAATCCATTTGTATACTACTGTTTTCTTCATGACATTATCTGCATAAACTTGGACTAACATGTCCCTCATTTTACTTCCATTCTTGCCAAGTTTAATAAGAAATTTATGCGTGTTTGTTTGTTGCTCTAATTCAAGCTTTGACATTCTCATGATGGCATACAAAAACACAAAACAATAATGAATGGCACTCAGCAAGACTCTGTCAAAAATTGATATGAACACAGCGTGAGACACTGATATACCAAGGTTATGAAAGCTTACTGAGTTGTTTATACAGTGCTGCCAGCATAAGCACATGGTAGCAACATCTGGAACTTAATTTCAGACTTTGTATGATCTTACTTAAGGTTATTTAGCATCTTTATGGAAGGACTTAGCCTAACCATATTTATTTGAACCTCACAATCACCCTGCAAGATGTAAATACAGATTTTATTTTTAAGGGGAAAAAACCCCCAAATGGTTCTGACCATGATAAATCAAGACTAGAGCACAGATCCATCTGCCTTTGGAGCCTGTGAACAAATCCTGTGGAAAGAGGAGGGTGTAGGGGAGCCTTACATGTCTGCTGGGACTGGGTAGTCCATAAGTTGAAAGATGACCTTCTTGGGTGAAGTGCGGGTCAATAAGGTGATGACCCGCAACATAGACTGCTTCATATGGTGAAAAGCGTCTTTACATAATTGCTTATAAATAGTATCCACAATCTTATAAACCTGGAAGAGAAATTTCATGGGTCAACAAGAGTCTCCTGTTCTATGGTCACCTCTAAACTATGGCATTTCTTGGACATAAGAATTCAGTTCTTCTCAGAATGACCAAAGCAGCAATTAACAGACAAATAATCACCAGCAGAGTGATGATTTGGATGAGTACTAAATCTATGCATTTATGGATAGTGCGAAAATTCACCTTTATACAGAAGTTTAAGTTGGGAAGGTAGAATTTGTTGTCCTATATATAAGACATATCAGCTCAGGATGGAAAACATATATATAATTAAAGTGCTTAAAAAAGAAAATCAAAACAATGAAACACAATAATAATGGAACTACATAGTATGTACTTCAAAAATACTTTCTGAAAATTGAAGACTTGAATATATATATTGGAGGGGTGAACAATTTATTAGAGGAATGACCCAGAATGATCAAGACTAAGCCATGATCTTGCAAACTCCACTTTTTTTTTTAAACAGGTACACAATTTAATATTTATTATATGCATTATTTTTCAACAGCTGTATGTTTGCTATGTGGTACAATCTTAAACATTTACTGATTCATAGTTTGTAAAACAAAAACCTTACAAAACTCATCAAAACTCACATACTGATCAGAAAAGTTTTTTGGAAGACTAGAAAAAATATTTTGTTGTCTTACTCATGCATTACACAAACAAAATCTTCAGTTCCACCATAAAATTAAGCACATCTGAAAAAATAAAACAGGGCTAACTAATCCAAACAGCATATTTCTGTATCCTGATTCAACTATTTTTTGTATCTTATTTGTAATGTAAATAAAATTTTACTCCACATATTTTTAAATAAGTTGGTTTTTTTTCACGATAAACCAAGCTATGTATCCCAGGGGAACCACCTTGGTTTGTAACTTACTATAAGATATTCCATTTTTAGTCTATTTTAGACTATTCAAAGAGTTCCAAAATAGATATACTGTTTCCTTTAGTACATTACTAAACGGATATAAAGACCAACAAAAAGTGAAAATAAATAGCCATTAGCCAGATAGATAATCCTTGATAAATAAACTTGTAAATACTGTAAGATATAGACAATATCACATAGTGATAAGATGTCAACACAGATTCCCTTTAAAACATGTTTTGCTTTAAAAGAAAGAAAATTTAACTTAAAATGTTTTAGCATTAGGTGCACAAAATGTCCAGATAAAGTTCTAGTTTTTATAAGTCTTTTTATGTATTTAGCCTGTCACAACAGTGCTTAAGATTGTATTGAAGTGTTTCTGCATTATACAACCCTAAAACACAAAGATCTCACTGACCCTTAAGTACCTTCTTTCCTTCTTTTGCCTAATACAGCTCAGCTAAGTCCTTCCGTAAAGAAGCTAAATAACCTTTATCAGCACATAAATGTCTTCATAAACCAAGGACTATTAAGTGCATTAAAATCAAACAGTAGGGTTTAGTGCACCAAATGAACTATTTTTAAAAAAAGCAATTTCTACTTTTTTAGTGCCCCATGTTAGTCTTATTTTACTTCTTTTTATTCATTCTTGACCAAGGAGAGCTCTAGCTAGACCTGAAATTTATCTCAAATCAATTGTGTATTCAATGTGTAATTTAACGCACCCAGATTGGCTCACTTCTTATTTTGAAAATGCCCCTCACATATTATAAACTGAAAACTTAGTTGATGTAAATTTACATTACTCTGCAGTTGCATCACGTGCAATTCAGTTATCTGTGCACAACCACATACTGCAAACAAAAGAAAGAAAATAATGAGAAGGGTAGGGGGAAGAGAGGGAAAAGGAGAGATTTGTTAAAGAATACAAAATTATAGCTAGATAGGAGGAATAAGTTCTAGTGTTGCGGACTGTGGTAGATTTTCAGATAGTTTCAGATAGCTAGAAGGAGGATGTTGAATGTTCCCAACACAAAGAAAAAATAAGTGTTTGAGATGATGGATATGCTAATTGCTCTGATCTGATTAGTACACATTCTATATATTGAAACACCACTATGTACTCCCTAAATATGTCTAACTATTATCTGTCAATTAAAAAATGAAATAAAAAATTAGGTGTTAAATAGTACAGGGCATTTATTCTACCACATATGTGCTAAGGTGAGCCTGCAATGTAAGACATGCAAATACTGTTTTTTTTTCCTCTCACCTATAGGGTTTAGAGCTTCTTATCATCCTCTTCCTATTTTAGATGTAGCCTGCCTCTGAAACAAACCAGCTAAGTCACTGAGTGCTTAGTTATGGAAATTTATGCTCATTTATGCCCATGTATACAAATGATAATTTTTTTTTCACTCATTAGAAAAAGATTTGTTGTGTCAGAATTACTTAAGATTATAAGCGCCTACACTATATTTATAACTCAGGAGATTTTCAGGGATACTTTCAGCCATACATAATTTTTCCTCATAACCAACTTCAGAACCTAACCCTATCTGAGATAAGAATCCACTGTATTCACTAGTCCAGTGGCCTGTGGGAGCTTAGGTGGGGTGATAATTTAAGTTGAGGAGCCCCATCTTGGTCAGTTTTTTCTGTGGTTGGTGATCTCACTATAGCAGAGGTTAGTTTTCATAGCTAGTTTTCTGTTTGGCCTTTTCTTCCTCTCCAGGGACTTGGAAAAGCTTCATCTATCCTCCCTTCGAGTGCCAAGTCCCACTTTATTAGAGGAGAACTTTGTTTTGTAAGGAGATGGCCTCGCCTGCCAGCTTTTCCTCTGGGTTGTGTTGTTCTAAAGCAGTGGTTTTCAACCCTTTCTATCTCACAACACACTTGTACCTATACTTAAGCTTCCTCTGCACACTTAAATTATGTTGATTGAAAAAAAAGAGCAAAGTAAAGAATATACTTTTTAAAATTTATTTACTAACACAAACGAAACTCACCATAGGGCCAAAAAATAAAACAACATAATTTATTATGATTTGTAATAAAAAGATAACAATTAAAATTCTTTAAAAAACTTACTCTTATTTTTCTGTTCATTATAATTTAACATTTATTTATTTTTTATTTTTTTTCTGGATTTTTTTTTATTGTTGGGGACATTTAATGAGATATCTGGCTTGACTTTTTAAAGCATACCCTCCTTGTAAGATTGAATTTTTTTATTTTTTATTTACTTAATTTATTTTTTAATTTTAGGTTAATGTGAGAGTGCAAACAATCAGGACATGATATTTGAATTTGTTAGGTAGAGTCCCTTTTATACTGTGTCCTGCACCCAAAAGGTATGCCATACACATCTACATTGTGCCCGCTGAGTGGGGGCAGCTCAATCCCCCCAAAAGGGAGCCTCCCTCCTCCCTTTTCCCTCCATCTTCATTCCTTCTCCTCTCCACTAAGAATAATGTGCTCCATCTCCGTCCAGGTTAATACAAAAGATATAAAGTCACCATCTTTTTATGGCTGAACAGTATTCCATGGTATACATCTACCACAGCTTGTTAATCCTTTCCTGGGTTGATGGGCATTTAGGCTGTTTCCACGTCCTGGTGGTTGTAAATTGAGCTGCAATAAGTCTAGTGCAAATCTCCTGATGATAAAGTAATTTTTTTCTTCTGGATAGATGCCTAATAATGGGATTGCAGCATCAAATGGAATGTCTAATTTGAGTACTTTGAGGATTCCCTATACTTCTTTCCAAAGATGCTGTATTAGTTTGTTGTCCCACCAATAGTGTAAAAGGGTTCCCTTTTCATCTCATCAGTGCCAGCACCTGCAGTTTGAGGATTTTGTGATGTGGGGTATTTTCACTGAGGTTAGGTAATATCTCAGGGTGGTTTTGATTTGAATTTCTCTGATGAGTAGGGATGATAAGCATTTTTTCATATGTTTGTTAACTATTTGTCTGTTTTCCTCAGTAAAGGTTCTGTTCATGTCTCTTGCCCAGTGATAGACGGGATTGTTTGCTCTTTTTTTTTTGTTGATTAATTTGAATTTCTACGGACCCCAGTTATCAAACCTTTGTCAGATTCATAACATGCAAATAACCTTTTCCCATTCTGAAGGTTGTCTATTTGCTTTGCTTGTTGTATTGTTAGTTGTGAAGCTTTCCAATTTAATAATAAATCTCTCAATCTCTCTTAAGTCTCATTTGTTTATTTTTGTTGTTGTTGCAATTGCCACTGAAGTCTTCTTCATAAATTCTTTCCTAGGCTGACATCCTCAAGAGTTTTTCCCATACTTTCTTCCAGGATTTTTATCATTTCATGCCTCAGATTTAAATCTTTTATCCATCTTGAATCAATTTTTATAAGTGGTGAAGTGAAAAGTGTAGGTCCAGTTTCTGTCTTTTACATGTGGTTATCCAGTTCTCCCAGCACCCTAGTGTATTCTTTTCCCTAGTGTATGTTTTTGTTTGGTTTATCAAAGATCAGATGGCTATAAGAGGTTGGTTTCTTCTCTTGGTTTTCTATTTGGTTCCAACTGTCTATATCTCTATTTTTGTGCCAATACCATGCTGTTTTGATTACTATAGACTTGTAATATAGCCTAAAGTCCAGTAGAGTGATGTCTCTGGTTTTGTTTTTATTACAAAAATTGCTTTGGCTCTAAAAGGCTTTTTCTGGTTCCATATTAAATGAATAATTATTTTTCCAGTTCTTCAAAGTATAATGTTTGCATTTTAATGGGGGATTGCATTGAATCTGTAGATTGCTTTGAGAAGTATAGACATTGAATGATGTTCATTCTTCACAGCCAGGAGCATGGTATGTTCTTCCATTTGTTAATGCCTTCTGCTATTTCTTTTCCCAGGGTTTCATAATTCTCTTTAGAGGTCCTTCACCTCTTTTGCTAGTTATATTTCTAAATATTTCATTTTCTTTGAAGCTACTGTGAAGGGAATTGTGTCTTTGATTAGCTTCTCAACTTGGCTGTTATTGGTGCATACAAAGGCAACTAATTTGTGAACATTGCTTTTATACTCTGACTCTGAGATGTTACCATGTTTCTGGATCATTTCCAGGAGTCTTCTGGTTG